CTGTTCCAACCACAGGGGCATAAGTCTGATTCCAATAGTGCCGAAGCTGCTAGCGTCCGTTTTATTGCGCACTTTACGCTTATACCGTGAGAAGAGAACTCGCAAGGAGCAGGCCGGGTTTCGTGCACGCCGTCGATGCATAGATCAAATCTTCACCCTCCGTCAGCTACTAAAACAACACCACGCATACGGACGACAAACCATTGTCGTGTTTTTAGACATCAGAGCGGCTTTCGACTTTATCGATCACCCCACACTATGGAACTGTTTGCGGAGATACGGAGTACCCGAGAAGTATGCCTCAATCCTACAAGCGCTCTATTACCATACCTCGGGGAAGGTTAGGGCCTATGGTGAGTTCTCACCCTCATTTCCTGTCACCAGTTGGGTGCGACAGGGTTGCCCTATCTCTCCGTTTCTCCTCAACTTTGCCATAGATTGTCCTACAAAACGCGTTACATAACGTAACAAACACTGGCGTCGAGCTTCCTCCCGGAGACAGAGTCGTAGACTCAGTATGCCGATGATATTGTCTTACTGGGTGACAACGCATCACCGATTCAAGAGTCGTTGAACCGTTTGGCAATTGAGGTTACTCGCTATGGTATGTCCTTTGCACATTCAAAGTGCAAAGTGTTGTTTCAAGATTGGCAGGAACCCATTCCTGCACTTTCGTTGGTTGATGAAGCTCTCGAAGTAGTCGAAAGCTTTGTCTACCTTGGGAGTTGCATAACGGCTGGCGGAAGTGTGGGCGAGATCTCTCAACGCGTGATCAAAGCTAGATTAGCATTTGCTAATCTGCGGCATCTCTGGCGCTCGCGCGACATATCCCTTTCACTGAAAAGACGTGTGTATTGCGCAACGGTACGCACCGTGTGGCTCTATGGCTGCGAGACCTGGCCTCCGAGCAGATTACGTCCAGCGACTATCAGTCTTCGGCAACCGCTGTCTGCCCAAAATCGTCCGCGTATGGTGGGAGCATCGCGTGAATAACGATGAAGTCAGACGACGGGTGTTAGAACCAGATAGTCTTCCTTTGAGGAAAATAATTTCACAGCATCGTCTTGGGTGGCTAGGGCACGTCCTACGAATGCCTGAGCACCGTCTACCACACCATACACTACTTGCAGATATCGGTCCAGGCTGGAAGAAACAACGAGGTGGGCAGGCTATGACGTAGCGCAGAGGGTTAAACAGATTGTGCTCTGATCTGGCTTCCGTTGGGGTCTCTCGGCTCCCCGACTAGGGCCCCAAAGATTCAAATCGTCTTTGACTGAAGACACTGCGGGATATGGCATCGAACCGAACTCAGTGGCGCGAATGTATCTTCTCCTGTTTGCAATCCCAAAAATAAACAAAACAAAAAAAATCAAAACAGCCTGCAGTAAAGAAATAAAAAAGTTGCTACTCCCAAAGTTGAATGTTTTATCTCCCCACTTTTGTACCCATATTTTTTCGTTCACCCATAGTTATTTGGCGCCGTATCTGTAAAGATTGGTGTTAAATATAATAATATATATTTCGCTCTGTGACGATAATGATGTGCGTGGATGAAGTGCCTTCAGTGAAACTTGTTCGCATTTACTTCCAGCAAATTTCCGGGAGTTTAGGACAAACACTTTTTCGTAACGTCACGTTCCAGCGTTCAACTTTGCCGTCCTTTTGAAGTTTGTTTGGGATGGTCCCGCCCATAACACTGATTTTCTCAAAGAGAAAGAGTCGTGCGTCAGCCGGTATGAAGTGTATTTGACCGAATATTTGTAATCGAAAAACTCCAAGTCGCTCTTCTTTATTCTTGGAAGCAAAGGCTACATCTGAAATATCAGTCCAAACAGCGAACCGATTGCCGTCAGGTTGGTGGTTGCTAAGTCATGCTTTAGGCTTCCGAAACTGTGCCTAGGCTAATATGATAGTTGATGGATCTCGTCAGAAAAGTTGGAAATGTATTGATATTTAAGAGTGTGTGCATTTATTGTCCAAAGTACTAAACGTACTGCATTTATCTATATTCTCTTTCATGTCTTCAATTCGGAGAAGTGTGTGTGCATCGTCCGGTTCAATACCACGCCTAACCTATCGGGGCCTATTTCGTGCGCGCTACAGCTAAAGCATAGTTGGTCGTGATAGCTCGAACATTGAAGAGAGTTCAATCACCAAAGCTCACCACAGTAACTATGACCAAGGGAGGGTTTTGTGCTTACGCTATACTCTGAGTGATGTACTTCGTTACACAGATCATGGCTCTATTCGAATGGCAGCATTTGTTCAGCCGCAAGGGTTGGGTTTATTGAGGTGAACTTTGGTGACTGATCTGCTTTTTATCAATCACTTGACAACGAAAAACAGTTATGCCTTAGCCATATCTCGTCTACTTTCGACTCAGCGCATAGCACTGAACGAAACAGAACGCAGTCGATCCGTTTGATAAAAAATGGTACTCGTTGTCAGAAAGTCTTGCTCTGTAAAGGACATCCACAGCGGTCATTTTTTCACAAGGTCCCAGTTGGCAAGCAGACTGAACGTACAATTAATGACTATAAGAATAAACTGTGGTAATCACCCGGTGGGATTGCAAGACAATTCGACGGAAACAAACATCAGTATTCTCTGTGTTGTATTTGTTCGCAAAGGCAGTTCCAGTCAGTCAGGCAAACTAGCTGACAAATGGCGTCATGTTCGCATCACACCAATACGTGAGAAAGAAAATGGGAATTTTCACCCGATTACTTCATCGTCGGTATTCCTCAAGACTTTTGGTCGCATGATTAGTTCCTCTTCTGCTGATCTGATTCCAATCACTTCGCCCATTGTAAGCGTCTCTCTACTTTAAATATCTACCTTACATAATCCGTTGAATCCATGGAAAGTTATCGAAACCAACGTGTAAATGAGGCATAAAAGCTGTGTAAAAGAAATTTCATCGATCCCTCCTCTTCCTTTCTAGGGCTCTGAAAACCCTATAACTGGACCCTTGTGCAGTAAACTATGCTGGTGTTTGTGTCACTTCCTAGCAGGTGTGACTGTATGAACTGATTTACATGGTAATGGTATGTTTTCAGTGCCAGGCAAATTTTTTGTTTCGCTTCATCAACATGCCCCTGTCTTTTGTCAAGCGGTTAAATTGACGTCGCCTAGTTGTGGTGATAGGCAGCGTCACTGTCGTTTGGCTCCAAACCATACCCATTCTAGTTGGGTCGTATGCATTTCTCCATCGGAAGTCCCACTGCCCAGATTGTTGGTTATCAGGAATTAACAATAGTCCCCCGTGACTAGAAGGTTACCCACTGTACTGTTCATCCAAATGGCGTGTGGTAAAAGACAATGCATAACTGTTTTCATTTTATACTTACCCTAAATTTCCGTCGATTAAATTGCCTTCAAAGTTGGTTTCATTTTTCTCACTGTCGAGTACATTTTACGATAGAACCAAAAAATTCGTTGCTAACGGAAGTGACCACGTGAGACTTTGCCTTTTGTATCACGCATCGTAGCTTCCAGATACCGATTTTGTTCTCACGTCTAGGTGATTCTGGCTTGGACGAGTCTGGTGATGGTCCTCGTGGTATTCCCTCACGTGACATGGACACATCGGCCGATTCGACGCTCTCGAAGGATTCGGATAGCTCACACTCGAATCAACATCACTATCATCATTCGTCTAATCGTGAACGTGCCAGTACGTCCCTGTCGACCCATGCCATGGGTGAGAAGACATCGGCCAAACATAACTCTACCATCCAGGGTGCTCTGATGCATTTGATCAAGACTGGGGATTTGGACGCTCTGAAACAACTGGTGCGTGAAGGTGCAAACGTGAACGAACAGGATGAGCACGGTTCGTGTGCGGTGGGACTTTTTTTCCTATAGTTTTATACTGATTATTTTCTGTTTAATTTTTACTACCGATGGGATCCGAGTAGTGTTCTCTACTGAATTTGGTCGCGAAATAACACGGTTGCAGACAGCACCACTGAGATTGATGAAACCTATGCTCNGACAATCACAAGCAAATCATCAAACAATCTCATTCATTCCTTTTATTCACTTTTAAATAAAAATGCTTCATGGCATAAATGGTTTTTGGGAACAATGAAGTGGACGACCTAATGGATTTAATATGATGCTAACAAATGAGGAAAGTCAGACAGCAACTTTGGGACTAAAACGGACGCCACTTGGTCACCGCTGTTAACATGCTTATATTATGGAGAACCAATCCACTGAGGTACTTCGCAAAAACGTTTCTTTATTCACCTTCCGTTGTTCCGGAATGTTGTACTACCTATGACTGTCAAATTTTGAGGGGTTTTCAGCACTTTGAAACCCAAGGTTATCTCCGAATTATTATTTTCTCTAAACGCACAGCTGT